CCTCTGTACCCCTCCCATGCCCAAAAGTTTCTCAGCGTATTTGGGCTGTACTCAGCAAACGCAGTACAGCCCCCGAGCTCGGATTTGAAAAAAAAATCAGCAGATGGGCCTCTACAGACTGGTCGGCAGACCACCGACCGGTCGTCCCTGCTGTTAGTCTGCAAACGGTCGGTGGTCGACGGGTATGCAACCCTGTTCCATGGCTTTATTTCCACTGTTTTTCCACATATGTTTCACAAATGGGCTCTTGGTTCATCGCTATTCCTTTGTTTCGCCTTCCATGCTTTAGTTCCCCCCCTGCTTTTCCACATGTTTCACAATTGTGTTCTTGGTTCATCGCTATACTACACATGCAAGCATTCTGCATGGCTTGTATCCTTGCCTCAGTTGCCTGCACATAGATCGGGGGATATAAAAGATGAAACATCGAAAAACAGTCGAACCAGAAAAGGTTTCGGTTTCGCACACCAAACGGCACCATGATACTTCACGGATTCTCGGCCCAACACTTCGTTCTATCAGAGTGCCAGGTCCCATGGCTGCTATGTTCAATGCATCAACATGGTTGTAATCATGGTTGGCTTCACATTTTCCCAGCATGAACCTAGCACCATTGTGGGGCCTGACCCTAGACTTTAACAAAGCATGCAGTCGTTCACGGGCTGACTGTATCGCATGGTACAAACAACCTTCTTTGAGGCGAGCTAAAGCGCACACCTCCCTCACTCCCCTTGGTTCCCTGGAAAAAAGACTGCGTACTCTCACAAGTCTCAACTGACCTGCTGCTGCGGTTACCGCACCAGCGCTCTTCGTCCATTCATCGACCAAGTCCATCCATGATCTGAAAACAGCAAATGCATTGCAAGGGCGACAAGGACGGGAGAATCAGCAAACACTCTCTCTGCGTATTAGCATGCATGTCCTCTGTACCACAGGCTGACGTCCACAGAAAGAAAGTCAACTACGGGTCTATCACTGCACTGATCCTCGAGGGCTGAAAAGGGAAATACATATCGCAAAAAGAAAAGGTTGTATTCTTCCAAACTTTTAACCCCCCCCATCTCGACCCCCTGCACACCCCTCCGACAAAACTCTAAAGAACACCTCCGTAGTCCATACCCCTTTAACCCAAAAACGAGAACAAATTCGGAATTCCACAAAAAAAAGTGAAGGTTAGGTGACGTTTCAGATTTGCTCAGAATACGGCTTTTACACCATTTTCACCATGCCGCTTGCACATCGGTCGCCAGAACAGCAGAGCATAGGAAGAGAAATAATGTGACCACTGACCACAGTTAATGACATATAAAATGATATAAATAAATCTGGAGTCTGGACCCTCACAGATTTATGTCTTTCGGCTTTTTCTTCGATCCCATCGGGGCTCCGGTCAATCCAGGACCAGCACATAGGCAGAGAGACTATCATCAGCGATCCCAGAGCTTCAAGCCTTCATCGCTCTGTGCCTTCATCGTCTCATCTCGTGGTTGTGTCGTTTTTTCGCAAAGGCGAAACCCACTTCCACACCAGGCAGTCGCCACCCCATATCATCTTGAGTCATTACCCTCAGAAGACTCAGAAGTAAGTTGCGTGCCAATATCCTTGGCAGTCGCTGGTTCCGTATCACTCTAGGCTTTGCGCCTTTCGGTCAGGTACGGCATATACCACACAGTACGAGAAGAACAGCCTAGGTCGCTCTGGTGGAAAGGACTCGCCGTTGGGCCATTCAGCCAGTTACGGTGTACACCAGACAGTGTGAGCAGCAGTATAGGTCTCTCTGGCGGAATGGACTCCCAAAACATACATCATTGTTCTCCAAAGCTTTGCCTCAGCAGTAAGCTCTGGCCCAAGCATTATTCTTCTCTATTGAGAAATATTGAACATACTTCATGGAGGCTGCAACAACTCGACATGCACATGCCCGGTTCCAGTCATAAGAACACTGACCCAAAGGCTCGACATCAGCAGTGGTAGTAGTGGCTAAGATACAAACTTGTTTTTACTTTTTTTCCATCTGATTACGCCAGGGTTGCATCAGGATTTGAACTCACGACGTGTTCAATAGCATTTATCGCTTTGTCCTCTAGATTGGGTGCAGGCATTGCTGGATGCCATGGCTGAGACGGCCCTGAAATGCACTGTATCCATCTGATTGCATCAGGATTTGAAATCACGACGTGTTCATTAACATTTATCGCTTTGTCCTCTACATTGGGTGCAGGTATCGCTGGATGCCATGGCCGAGCCGGCCCTGAAATGCACTGCTTTTGTCAGGTGTTATGAGTCATCTGTACCAGAGGCATTTTACGCTTTCCGGCACCCCGAAATCAGATTTCGGCGGAGTTGGATGGAAAGAACCTCAGCTAGGTTTCATCAACACCAACCGCCATAAGCACAAACACCTTATATATCATATCTATCATTATGCCTGCAGATACATGCCTCGTGTTCGGCAATGAAACTTAAGCTGTCCAGTAGAAATTCATGTTAATACAGGCAAGCTAGCTTAGGGTCACAAGACCTTCCTGAATGAAAACGGACTGGTTCAAAGAGCACTTCAGACAAGCACTCCACCATCAGGAAAGGTGGTGTTTTCCCATGCACATATACGTATGACAAAGTACATACATTGGTGGCATCATAGTACATACATTAGTGGTTGGTGGCATCATAGTACATACATTAGTGGCATCACCCTCCACAAACACCTTTTATCATTATGCCTGCAGATACATGCCTTGTTTTCGGCAATGAAACTCAAAATGCTGTCCAGTAGAAATTCATGTTCATACAGGCAAGCTAGCCTAGGGTCACAAGACCTTCCTGCATGAAAAAGGACCGGTTCAGGATCACTTCAGACGAGCACTCCACCATCAGGAAAGGTGGTGTTTGCCCATGCACATATTGTCATATACATATTACATAGTACATACATTGGTGGCATCACCCTCCATAACAGTGCCATTTCTTAGCAATCAAGCCAACAGTCACGAGCACGCAAATCGAAATCCAAAGAGCATTCAGAAAGCGAGGATAGAAAGAAAAGAAGAAGGAAAAAAAAAAGGGAAAACAACAACAACAACACAGCCCTGTGCTCCATATATCAGCGCATGCGGGAATGTCGAGAGCCTGCCAGCTTTTCTGTCTGAGGTGACAGCACCACATGCTCAGATTATGTTACTGGGGAAAACAAGAATTACGCAACATCCACAAACCCAAAAAAAAAAAAAAAATCAACCCCCAGCCAAATCGCAATCGCAAGCCCATGAAGGCTTCCAAGTGTGTTCTACCGTCTTCCCCCCCCAAAAAAAGGCACCGTCATCATGAATGTACACAAGCTAGCTTTCTGATCCAATACAGTGATGATGAAGATGGGTCATGTTCGGGGGAAGACGGCAGAACACAGCAACGAACAGAGAAAGAGAACTCCAACCCACAGCGCTTATAGCAAAGCAGGGGAAATTACTAATCACTGTAATCAGTGACCATACACCACCTGACATTCTGAGCCGATGAAGCCTGGCCCGAAGGTAAATCCGGTGAAGCCAGGCAGACAGAATGTGCAAGAAAACAGGACGAGAACCGAAACTACCCGCCACCTCAATCAAAGATATTGTGGCGGATTACAAGGAATTCGCTGAATCGTTGCCACTTTTTTTCACAGCCTCTTCACAAGAATGGGCCTCGACAGCCTGGTAGAGATTGCATGTTTCATGCTTTCGACATTGTCTCGCAGCCAACAAGACACTGTCTGGAAGGAAAAGCATCACTGGGCACTTCAGTAGTGACTCCGATTCCACAGACGCAAAGTTACTCCAATATGTCACAGCATTTAAAGAGCGAGTTTGCAAACAGTCAAGTTCACCGCCCAACGGCATCATCATCATCATCATCATATTATATGCCAGATAAACACACCTCACCAATTGCTTGGTAGCGGTTCTAACAGCCTTTGCTGGATGCTTACGTAAGCTCTTCACATGCTTTCCTATTTCCGTAACCTGCAACAGATTGTCAAACGTGCCAAAAACGGTGCATCCATGTTATAACCCCCTTCACATCATAGTTACCTTATTTTGCTCCGCCACATGTGCGACCACGCCCAGTTTGATTTTGCCCACCTTGCCAAGTTTCTATCTTTCTTAACCCCCTTCACATCACAGATACCTTATTTTGCCCAGCCACATGTGCAACCACACCCAGTATGATTTTGGCCACCCTGCCAGGTTTGTATCTTTCTTCCCGCACCCACCCACCCCCCACCACCACCACACATACACACACACCACAAATCCCAGAAAAGCAAGAGAGTAGACAGGGATATCCCCGTACGCTATGGAATGGTACAGGATTCGAATTCAACCACCGTGCAGGTGACTGCCCCTCCCACATCTGCCTCACAAGCTTTTAGACTCCCCATTCGATCATCTTCTTTTTGGTGAAATTATGTCCCCTTAACCACCACTCCAAGGCCCTCTGCACTCTTCATTTTTCTCGTCTACAAGTACCGGGCCAAAATCCACAGTGCCCAGGCCCGGTAGAGGTTCCATGGGGAACGGTACCCGAAAAAAAAAAAACTTCACTGCTGCACTGTCGATTTTAGGGTCAGGGAGATGCAACTTTTGGTTGGTCGAAACAGGTCCGGATGGAGTGCTGGTTTAAAAACAAGAGGTCTTTTTTCTCATGGTAACAGACCAGACATCCGGACCGGGTTCCAGACAGTCCGGAACAACATGTCCGGTGTCCGGTCCTTACATCCAGATGGAGGCCCAGTCCGGAACAACATGTCCGGTGCCCGGTCCTTACATCCAGATGGAGGCCCCCAGGGAAAAAGTCGAAAAAAATAAAGGGGCGGCCCAGGATGTTTTTCGGGTCCTGGCCGCCCCTTGAAAAATAATGGGGTGCTTTTTCAGTGTCGTTTCACCCCACCAGACAGGCCTAGAGGTCTGGACTCCGGACACATGACACTGCAGGTTTCTGGGGTGGCGGGTTTCACACAGGCCCGAGCAATTTCAAAGCAACCGTTTCGACGAGCCGCCCACCACTGCTGCCCATTGCCCACAGAGACAGAGACACAGAGAGAGAGAGAGAGAGAGAGAGAGAGAGAGAGAGAGAGAGAGAGAGAGAGAGAGAGAGAGAGAGAGAGAGAGAGAGANGAGAGAGAGAGAGAGAGAGAGAGAGAGAGAGAGAGAGAGAGAGAGAGAGAGAGAGAGCACTGAAAGTGCTGAAGTTATGAACCTAATTACTTAATTCAAAGTTCAAACTTTGAAGTTAATCATACTTTTTTCTTTCTTTTTTTCTCTGTTCCTTGAGTCTTGTGCCTGCTTTGCTTCATGTCTGCTAGTTGAATGTGCTTGTTGATTTGCTGCAAGACAGGTGCTCTGCTGCCTGAACTACAAAGTGCAAAGCAGGTAAGTGCCTGCCAACTCTCCGCAATGTCAAGTATTCTGTGAGGTGCTGGCGTCACCACTCTCGAGGTCGACTGGGGGGTAGAATAACCCTACTGCCTGGTGTTACTTCACGGTGAAGTTTCCAGGCCAGCCGGCCGGCTGCTAACGCCAGACGCACGCACTTAAGAGTGCCATATGCGCCGAATCGCCGCGCTACTCTGGGCGTAGTCCATTCGGGTAGTGCTCGCTCTAGCGCTAGCCCAGCGACGCCAATAGCGCACTGAAGTAGCGCAGCGCTGGCACTGCCGGAACGCTCGCGGCCACAAACCCAGTCCCTTTCCAGGTCTTCTTCTTCCCAAAAGAAACTTTTGCACTTTGAAAAACAATCTTCCAACACGCTCCTCTGGGCCTAGACCGTTTGGGTAGTGCTCGCTCTAGCGCCAGCCCAGCGACGCCAATAGCGCAGCGCTAGCGCTACCGGAACGCTCGCGGCCACAAACCGAGGCCCTTTCCAGGTCTTCTCCTTCCCAAAAGGAACTTTTGCACTTTGAAAAACAATCTTCCAACATCGGAGTTGCCATGGCCCTACTGAGCATCGACGCAATTTACAGCATATCAGTCTCAGGCTGGCACCAGCCTCATCTTCGCATCAGATGAGAAACCAGATCGCACAAGCGCATGCCTACGTGCTGAGCGATCTAAACCTGATAGCATGGACTCCATAAGCCAAACTCTTTGGCAGCAAGTGGAACCAGTCAATCTTTTTGTGAGATGTATCACTGAAGTCTGAAGAGGAAATAATGCATTTGGTGCAAGACCCAAATAGTGTATTCGATTAAAGTGCGTCTTCAATTTCACATCAGGGTTTCCAGGAAAAGAAACTCCATCTCATGAACAGTCGTCAAGCAGGCATATGTTTTGTCGACAGCAGCAGACGGCCATGTCAACCCCGAGTATATCCATCCACAAGTTGTTTGATCCTTTGGGAAAGTTTTACTGCAAGAACATCATCAGTGGTTAACAGGGTAAACTGTTTTCATTGCTGAAATCAGGTTTTTTTGGCCAAATTTAAAATTTTCACTTCTGTGATTTCTTTTTTCGACTGTTGGAATTCAAGAACATGCTCCCCAGAATGGAAAAGGAGACAGAACCGTAAGGCTCTGTTGAAAAAAACAAAAAAAAAAGAACATGCTTGCAGCACAAAGTTATGATTGCATTGCACTGTCCATTTGATGTAGCTCAGTGGTTAGAGCACCGGTTGGAAATGCGCATTGTGGTATGAGGTTGCGGGTTCAAAACTCCGCAGCCTTGCACATGGACACCGGCAGGGCGTTAGAATGACCCACGGCTGAACACACACCCCCTTGGGATGACGCAGGTAAGTTGTTACAGACACTGCTTGCGCACCACCCAAGGGGTAGTCCATGGTTGTTGTATGTGGGGACTGGGCGATGGTGGTGTATCCTGATGTTCTTGGTGTACGGGGTTGTCATGAGACTGCTGGGTGGCTCGCACAGTCCGGTTTACTCGAGCCCAGCAGAGCACAGCTTCAGACTATTTCACAGTGTAGGTCAATAGGTTAAGTCACTTGCACGATTCACATAAGGTCCTGTGTTCGATACCAGACTGTAACTTAGGGCTGGTCATCCTCTTAGTACGTGGTCACAGGATTGAGGCTGGCATAGCAGTTCCTTAAACGGGATGTCAGGAGTGTCAATAGTGCACTTTACCGCAGGGCCGGAACAGTCTGCAGGGACATACGAGGGAACAGAGGATTGTCTGCTCTCAGATTACCATACAACACAGGGCTAAGGGATTATCCAGGGTCAACACATACAGTCCATGATTCACGATTGACGGTGGGCTATCCTCCTAGTACGTAGCAGTCCTTAGTACGGGTGTCGGGGCTGTCAGGAGATACTGCACCTTACCGCGGGGCCAGAACGGGCTCCAGGGATATACGAGGGAACGGGGATCCCCATGTCTCTACCATCAACACCATAGTACACTGTAGTAAAAAGACAACATAAGGATAAAGAAACTCAGTCCATAACTCATGACCTACGGTTGGCTATCCTCCTAGTACGTAGCATAGGGTTGAGGCTGGCATAGCAGTTCCTTAGTACGGGATGTTGGGGGTGTCATGGCCGGAACGGGCTCCAGGGACATACGAGGGAACGGAGGATACCCAGCTCTCTATGATCACCACACAACTAAGCTAGATGGGAGTCACTCTGCACCCTCATGAAGACCTGTAGCATCATGTTCAAATCTAGCTCCCGAAGTCCCCGTGCAATCAGGCTTGCACGGCGTCTGCTTCAACCGGGGCTGAGCAGGGGATGATCACTCTCCTTAGCCCCGGTGCCTGCAACTGCTGTCTGGTCAGGTCACCCCGCCAAGATGGCAATGGGTGATGCTCCTGGGTGGTTAACACTAGGGTAGGACAGGGGGGGTGGGGGCGCGCCACGGCAAAAGATGAGAGGAAGGGTGGGTGAGGTCTTCAGAGGGGTTCATCTGGACAACCAAGTGGCCGAGTACTGTGGGTGACTGTCATCCGTCTATCCGTCTAGTATCCCACCTCTGCAACAACCTGGGCTGCACTTTACTGTCGTCAGAACCGGAACGGAAGAGGGCACCATACCCTCAAACGCAACAAATGACCCACCAATATAAGCTCCAAACTTCACCCCAACCGCCAAACTGTTAAGTGACCAGTGCATACCTGAAGGGTTTCCACTGACATTGACATGCTCTCCAACCTAGCCAAAGCTTTGAGCACTTGTTCTTCCTCCTGACAGCCAGCATACAGAAGACAAAAGACACAAACAACACGTGCGGTGAGGCAAAATAGTGGCTTGCACCAGACAACAAAGTTGCATGAACCAATCTTCATACACCCACAGCAAAACCATCGATCCGTTATCGTCCACTTTCTTTACCATGGGTGGCCGTGTCGAGGCGTCAGTTGGGTGTTGGGCAGATCATCAAGGGTTCAGCTCCCTGGTTTTTTATTAAGACGGTGGCACAACAGCCAATTCTTTTGTCCCTTCTCCCCCCTCTGTTATATACAATGAGAGACAGACAGGCAAACAGACATAGACACAAACACAGAGATCGACAGACAGACAGAAGGTTGGCTTTGCTTTGACGGATAGAGCACATTGCAAGTGTGGCTTGAGAGAGAGATAAATAAAGAGATGGCTCCACAATGCCTTCACAATCCTGCAAAAGAGAAGCGAGAGAGAGAGAGCAAGACAGAGATGCCTTCCCAATCCTGCGAAAGAGGAGAGAGAGGGAGAGGGCAAGGAAGAAAGGGGGGGGGGAAGAGGATGGACTTGTGCTGCCTGTGGCACTCCTCTGTAAGAGAGAGAGAGAGACCCCTGTGCTCTGACAGTCGCACACATTAGCACGAGGGCAACAGACTGAATTTCGCAATCATCCACTAGAACCCAGAGGGGGTGGGGAGGGGGAACAGGGAGGGGGAGACGGAGGAGGGGACGGAGAGAGAGAGAGAGAGATGGATTTGCACTGACCATGGCGTTCGTGTGTAAGAGATAAGAGGCGGCTTTTCTCTGAAACTCGCACACTAGTGAGCACGAAAAAGAGGGCAAGGGCATGTTTAAAAAATTTGTAATAAGGCACAACTGACCCCAACTTACCAACTAACATCTACAGTTCAGTATCCACACTTACAGATCAACATCTGAAACTGATGCTGTAGTGTAGCTGGCCAGTTAGAAGAGAAAATGTGTCGCCCACCCAGGTCAACGTTCGAAATTGATGCTAGCGCAGCTGCCCAGTCAGAAAATAAGGGACCAACATGTGTCGCCATCCATGTCTAATACAGAACCCAACTGCACAATCACAAGTGGGCTTATTTTTCTTTCCCTCCCCTCCCCCCACCGTCTTGCAGTTAAACCACCAGTACCTTTCGGGACTCAGCCTACCGAAAGAAAAAGGCCGGAGGTCCCAGCATGAAAAAAATTCATTTCACGCCTCCGCTGCAACACGCATCAGAAAGAATTGGCAATGGGAAAAAGAGGCTCTGAGGTAGCGATGGTGCTATGTTCTTTTTCGCCATGCTCCAGGAGGTTGGAAGGGACAGAACGGGTGGGCCCTACACTACTGCGGTGAGCACCATCAGAATCAAACAATCACTTGCTCTACAGCTGCTTCTCACAGTCATGACCCCCCCCCCCCCCCCCCCCCCCCCCAAGAATCTTTCTCCTAGCGCACAGAATCCTCGAATCTTTTCTAAACTACACGTTTTTGACACATCACCTCCCTTATCCTTGTAGTCTCCCGCATTACATGGGTGAGACACTGCCCAGTCCGAACCTCGTAAATATATTTTGTATTAAATAAGATCCCCAATGTGTGCACACAGACACAGAGAGAGAGAGAGAGAGAGATAGTGAGGGGTGAATGTGTAGAGGCAATTCCGAGTGCGCTGGGCGTCCCTTACAAAAAGGCGGGCAGGCCCAATCGAGCGCGGCACCACTGGCCAGGCTCAAAAGGGGTGTCCCTTGTACTAGTTGTCCCTTCCCACTTACAAGCGTGTTTGTTTTGTTTGTTCGCCAAGGCAAAAACAGCATAAGCTTAGGGAAAATTGTCATACGTGTATGTTTCGTTTGCTTTGCAAGGCTGGCACAGCATAAGCCTTAGAGAAATTTGGCAGAAGCCACCAGATCTTTGGACCATCGATGAACCAAATCTTCGGTAATTATATCTCGAACTTCCAAATGTGCCAGATCAGAGTCATTCCGCACCTGGCTGCTAACTGGATGGTATACATCCAAATTAATTGGTGCTCCGAGAGGCTTCTGGTGTTTTCAAGATGGAGAAAGAAAACAATAGATTGAATAGAATATTGTCGAGGCTTCTAGTCTTCTCCAATAATCACAGCCTATTCTTAAGTCCGGAGCTGCTATTCAGAGACTCCTCATTACTGTACGAGCTTTCCCGACTTAGTCCCCACAAGCTTGATCACAAAGCAATGGACAGCATCCACTTTTTTCTCTTCTTTCCCCTCGACTCGCGAGAGCTCCCACGTCATCCCCTTACATAATCAGATGCACACACAGGATCTACACAGGTGTAGGTAAAAATGGATGCAGGCATTAAAGAAACCAGAAGACGGAGGGAGGGAGGGAGGGAGGGAGGGAGGGAGGGAGGGAGGGAGATAGGTTATTAGGATGTAATAAAATAGAACCTATAAAAGCCCTGTTGAGACAGGCAAGAGACACTGAGCACAAATCCGGTCAAAATGCAGATCAAGTTTAGAATATTGAAAGTTGCTCTACACAATTACACCCCACTGTGGACACCCTGCAGTTGCGCAACACGAATTTACGCTCATGCTGCCAGCAGATCAAGTTTAGAGAATAGTGAAACACAACTACACCCCACTGTGGACAGCCTGCATTTGCGAAAGGCGAATTTACGCTCATGTTGCCACCATCAAGCTTATGTCAAAAACAAAGGGTGACCGGAACTCACGCCCCCTCCTCTTTTCCCTCAAGAAAAGAAAACCACTTGTGGGCCAATCTGCCAAAGCTGGCATGAGAAGAGGGTTGCAAAAACGAGCTTTCAAAAACAAAAGAAAGGAAAAGAGAATTGCATGGAGCGGCTGGGTATGGTCGATGGCTAGGTTGGCAACCACCAATTTTGATTGGTCACTCCCATGTTGAATATTTGAAAATAAGTTTAAATAACGTTCAAAATTCCTCAGAGACCATCAGTTATTATTCTCTCATTCATCGAGAACATAATCATGAATCTACTACGGTGAGGAATATGGGTCATTACCCTTAAACCCCCGGTACTCCCCAAAGCAGTGCCCGTTAGCAAGCCTCGATTTCAGGTAATGAACGGGCCACTACAGGAGTGCCCAAATTCATCCAACTAGAAATGTTTCTACTCTATTTTTTTCCCGCGGCCGATAGTTCCGCCAAGTACTGGTGGTTTAATGAGTCTTACTCTCAACCCTTGCTCACTTGAAGAATTTCTCGCCATTTGATGCAATGATTTCTTCTTGTCCATAAGGGGATGGAGGGCAGACGGCAACTTACCTGAGACAGAAGACTTCTCCAGCAAGAAGGCACCGAACCGACCCCCTTTAAGGTCCAAAAAGACTTGGACAGCCTTCCGCATCGGCCCACAAAACCAAAAACTCATTTACCAAAAACAAACAAATATAACAGCATTGGCATTCCCGACATTCATCTCAAACTACACACTCGCATCACTGCCAAAGAGGAGAAAGAAGATAAGAGACAACTTACCTAATACAGAAGACTCCTCCAGCAAGAACGCACCGACCCCCCCCCCTGCTAAGGCTCCGCAAAAAACTGGGAAAGCCTTCCACGCCGGCCCACAACACATACATTCCCCCCAAAAAGAACTCATGGCCACCCGTAAATGTCCAAACAGCCCATGCTCTAAAGCAGGGCAAGGAATTAGGCCGTGTATAATCAACAAAACTGACAACACATATCCGACCACAAAAACAGAGAATAGCTTGCTCGTACGAGCCCGATCCTAGCCGCTCAAATCTGCCAAGACAGAGAGCTAGCAAGACCGGAATGTGTGTGTGTGTGTGTGTGTGTTGAGGGAGGGGGTGGGGGGAAGATGGGCGGAGAAGGGGGGGCAAGGAGGCACAAGGGGGGGGAAGAAGCACTGCAGATAGGAGCGCAAAATTTTGGTTGGCCCCTGTTTGGCAGTTTTTAGTTATCTCCGCTAACCGAAAACAAATGAAAAAGGGGACGCGAGATTTTGAATGTCCCCACTTTGACGATTTGTACTTCCCATCTCCTTCGGGGCAAAAAAAAATCTTTTTTTTCACCTGAGAGATATCACAGATGTACGTTAGATCCCGCTGTTTTGTGGGAAAAAAAATACTATCAAAATTTTCAAAAATCCTATCAACATTTTGCCTGCCAAGCTGTGCCAACAAAACCTACGGCAGGCATTGACAATGTATACGTCCAGTCACAGAACAACAATAGGAGGGACGGTCACAAAGGATACAACTTGCTAGAGAGGAGAGTTTGTACATTCAACCTCCGTTTTAAACCACCAGCACCTTTCCCCGGTGCAAACACAAAAAATATGCAGGTCGTATATACGGCCGCAACTTTTGGGGGTCAGGATACAGGACCAAAAGGGCTGGCGGTGCCAGCCAAAGCGAGGTACGGCCGCAACTGTCGAAGATTGGGGTACGGGACCAAAATGGCTGGCGGTGCCAGCCAAAATGAGGCCCGTGTCAGTTCGTTTTTTCTTCCGGCGTGCAGGGCATTTGCAGGCTCGGCTTCAATCGCTGGGCGAAGGTACTGGTGGTTTCACTTTCGCCCCATATCGGGGCCATAGTTTCACCCACGGAGATTACTTAATTGGGACAGTCGATTATGAAGCGGATCAGATACACAACAGATCATTTTTCCCGTTCACTTTCTGCCACACATCCTGGCTGTGATCACATCTAATAAGATAAATTATTCGGAGTGTATTCCTGACCATAGGTTACAAGGATCAACAACACCACGCATGAGTGAAGAAGAGGACACCTCACCTAGAACAACGAACTCATTCGGGGAATTTGTTCCTTCCATCTGTATCAGATGATTGGTACACAGATGTAACTAATGTCGCAAATTTTAAGAGCAGCCAGAGTCTGCAACACGTCAGGGCCCTCTGGAACAACAGTGATTTTTTGGTTTCTGTTCGTTTTCTTAAGTCTTTTAGCAAGATCACTTGCTCCCGGGTCCCAATCAAGCCTCGTTCCATTTACGG